GGAAAAGGCTCCTGGGAGGGCGCAGAGTCTCGACCCCTCTGGGGGGCTCTTGCAGAGTCCCTTCCCCTCCTACTACAGACTTCCTCTTAGGACAGATTCAGGATGGTCCCTGTCCCTCACCCTTAAGCCTCCTACTAACTAACTAACCCCTTCTCCTCAAAGAGGAGCCCCACCTCCTCAGAGCAGGGCCTGGCCTGTGCTATTTCTGTCCTTTCTGGGATTTTTCTGAGAACAGATTCTTGTTTTCAGTTCTTTTCAGATGTGAAACTTTTCCCGTGGCCTCTCACCCAGTTGCTGTGGGCTGGGTCTCTGCCTCATCACTGCCTTCTTCCTCCAGCCAGGCTCCTCCTGTTCCCCCGCAACCCCCCCAAGTTCTCTCTGGTCAGTCACTCAATTCTGCCGAGACCTGGAGGAGGAAGTTAGGGGCCCAAGAGGGCGCCATTCCCCTCAGGGGCTCCAGGGTCTTGGGGGCAGCATATTGATGCTCTGAAGTAGGAGACTTTAATTCCCATGGCAAATCCTGTTCCTGTGCAGAGGAGCCACCTCCAGGGCCCCATCCTCCGGTAGGCGGTAGGCGCCGGGGTGAGGAAGGGAGAGGGGAGGAGGATGGCAGGTTGCTGTGGGTCCACCAGTTGTAATTTGGTGGAGGGGAGCGATTAAGACTTGACATTTATTTAATGAATATGTTGTGTGTGTGTGTGTGTACTTCTCCTCCATCTTTAACCCCATCCATCTTGCCTTTTACCTCATACTTTTCCTTACCCACCTCCCCTTCCTTTTTATCACTTCTTCTTGACTACGGCAGGTGTCTTAGTAGAATGTCCCTCCTTTCTCTGCTTCCTGACCCCCAGCATCCTTAGGACCTCACATTCCTCTGACATCTCTTCATCTGGTCTTAAGAACCCAAAAGGAAAATAGGATTCTTCTCACAACTCTCAGCCCCTGGGCTTAAGGCTGCTCTGTGCTGAGCCCCCTATTTACAGTGATCTTTTGGGGAATGTAGATTCTGGAAGTAGTGCAGGGGTATTTGGAAATTGCCAGATCATCAGCCATATGGTAATTCAAAGAAATGAACTGGTGGGGGCTGAGGAAGCTGAGCTCTTTTGGGGTTTAAGGATTATTACTGCCTAGAACCTTTTCCAGCTGGATGCCCAGAGCTGGAAGACACTGGGACCTTCCAAGGGTTAGGATCTGAGGCGTTTCCCATGGTGCAGGGGCTGAAGGTAAAGGAGAAGAAGTGGTGGTGGTGAAACAGAGTTAGGGATGGAGGTGGAAGGAATGTTGGGGAAACTTCCAGTTTTCCTTAGGTCTGGATGAGGATTGGACAGGGTTGAGCATACAGTTTTGCAGGGAAAGGGACCGGTCCCTGACAGATTCTCCTAGGACTGAATCAGAGGGGTGGGAGTAAAACTGATGTAGGGGCGGGAGTAGGATTTCCTGCAGAAGAATGGTGAGGTGAGGACTTTGGGCGGGTCAAGGGAGATCTTAACTCTGAAGGACTTTAGAATCAGAGAGGCCCCTGCCAGGCCAGAAAGTGCCCTGTGGGGGTTCTATAATTTCAGGAAGGTGAAGTTCAGCACCTGGATCCTTCCAGCGGCCTGAGTCCAGGTTCCCCTTCTTGGACTCCCCATTTGACAAATATATCCTTTAACCTTTCTTTTCCTCTCGCTTTGGGAGTCTGCGCTGGTGGTGTCTGGATTGTGTTGGGTTCAGATTTCAACAGGAGCTATTAAGGAACTCCTGGAACTCCTGGACGGGATCAGAGGTGGAGGCAAGAGGAGCTTGGAGGGAGGGTGTGTTGAAAGGCAGCCCACGATCTCACTCTTCTCCCCAGGCTCTCCATTACACAGAAACCCGGCTCAGAGAGCACAATTGTGAGTTCTGGCAGATAGCTCTTCACCTAATGAATCAGCCTTCTTTCCCATTTATTTATTTAATGAACGTTTACTGAGCACGTATTGTGTGCTCTGCACACAGCAGCCAGGATAAACAAGTTCCTGTCAGTGCCATCAAGACACTCACAGTCTACTAGGGGTTGCCGGACACTAACACTTCATGAAGGGTGGATGGCTGGCCCGGCTGGTGTGGCTCAGCGGTTGAGTGTTGACCTATGAACCAGGAGATCACGGTTCGATTTCTGGTCAGGGCACATGCTCAGGTTGTGGGCTCGATCCCCAGTGTGGGGCATGCAGGAGGCAGCCGATCAATGATTCTCTCTCATCATTGATGTCTCTCTCTCTCTCTTTCCCTCTCCCTTCCTCTCTGAGATTCAAGAAGCTGTGATGGAATCAGTTCCAGCCTCTCTCCAATCTAATTACAAGATTGCGCTCCCTCTGCCCAACACCTCTGGTGTTTGGGGCACCGTTAAAGCTCCAATAGTGCGGGTTGTAGGCTTGCTGACCTGACTGAGATTAACAAGTTGTATGACCTTGAACGAGTCACTCAACCTCCCTCATCAGGTGATTGTGAGGCTCAAATGAGGGTTGTACTTGTAAAGGAGGATCATGACCATTTTCATTCTCCCATTTCCTCTGTTAGGGGACTTCCTAAGTACCAGTCTCCATCCAAACTAGACTCTCTTCTGGACTTGAGATAGAGAAGTCAGGCGCTGCTGGATTTGAAGGGAGTGAGCCATGAGCTGGGTAGGGCCAGCCTGCTGCTGGTCAGTTAATTCCGATTCAAGTCACATTTATAAAGACCCGGAGTATATGCCAGGCCTTTTGCATACATTATTTCATTTAATCCTCTTATTAACAGCCATTCACAGTTGGTGTATTATCCTCCTCAGTATTTTATAGGTGAAGGAATTGAGGCTCTAAAATAAAAGTTCTCAAACTTTAGTGTGTGTGAGAATCATCTGGAATGTTTGCTAACTGCAGATCCCTGAACCATACCCTCAGCTATTCTGGTTCAATAGGTGTGTAATGAGACCTAGAATCTAAAATTTTCATAAGTATCCCAGGTGGTTCTGATGTCAGTGGTCTACAGGCCACATCTTAATAGATACTGATTAAGAATTAAGAATTACTGACTTGCCCAAGGGCTCAGAGTCAGGTTTGATTGCTGCCTCCCTACCCCCCTCCACTCCCATTGTGAGGATAAAATGCGAGAATGTAGGAGAAAGCGCTTTTAAAAATGTAGAGCTGGCAGCATTGTTAGCGATTATGCGAATACATGCAAATGAGCACCTGTGGGCTTGACTGTTCACTTTGGGAGTCTGCGCTGAGATGTGTGTTTTGAGAGGCGGGTGGAGGAAAAAACTTTGGCGGAGGGCATTGACCTCTAGGGGCAGAGCGTTTGGTTGTAAAAAGGGCTGACCAAAGGGGAAAATTAGGGCTAGGACAGGCATCTGGGGGGAGGTGGGACCAGAGGCCTTTCTTCCTAGGTTGTGTGTCCCCAGATTTGAGGGCCCCTGGCCACAGGGACTGGCCAGGAGAGGGAAGCCTGGCTTGAGCCTGGGCCCCAAAGGCAGAGTGTACCTTTTTGTTCTGCGATGGCTGGGGGGCACTCTGGGAGATGCTGGCTCAGGTCCCCCTTTCTAGCTCATTGGCTGGAAAGCCTTTTCTGTTTCTATCTACTGATCTCCCAGCTGGGTCTGAGCTTTACTGAACTCCGCCTCTATCAGTGACCCCCTGTTTGCACATGGAGGGGGTGCAGCAGAAAGGCTGGAGGTTGGGATTTGGAGCACCCCCCTCCACCCCAGGAGGCTGCAGTGTCACCTCCCATCTCCCTGCTTTCCCTCCTGCCCCATGTGCAGACAGGTCTTCAGCCAGGTGAGAGTTGGCCGGGGATGCTTCCTGGGGCTGGCTGGCTGTTTTGGGCACCCCTCTTCCAGAGCTGCTGAGACCCCAGGATTCTAGGGCTGCTTTCCTTCAGGAATGCCATTGTTCTTCCTCCCCCGGCATCCCTGGGAATTGATGCTAATTTCAGCCTCTGGTCCCTGACTCATTCTCTTCTGCTCCCTGACTCAGAGGGTGGCCTTGGGTTTCTAAACCCCCTCTCAGTGGGGAATTGTGGTGGCCACCATTTCACCCCCATTTTGGTGGGGCTGGCAGGGCAGGGCTGGAGGAAGGAGCAAAGGGGAAAGTTTAATCGCTTTTTTTGAACATCACCATGAAGTCAGAAAGCATTGTTTGCTTTGTGACTGCCTGGGCTGGACTCAACAGACTTCTAAGAAGCCTCCCAGTTAATCACCAACCCCCAGAATTCGTGAGTGCAAACTGTGGGGGATTGTCCCTTCAGGCAACACATTCAGTAAGTGAGACCCCTGGCCACCACTCTTGCTCTGTGGAAGCTGCTGTAGGGCTGTGGTACCGGATGGGTCACCCTTTGCCAGAGGTTCTCTCTGGTACTGTCCCGGGCAGGCAGGGGTTAATCCTGCTTTGTCCTGGTTGATGGATTCTGGAATCATAATCCATTAGCTCTGCCTGGATGGAGTGAGGCCAGGAGAAAGCACTCAGATTGCTCTTTGTTCTGCGTCTTTGCCATCCTGCCGGGGACAGAGGGGCTATGGACATGTACCTCCCTCCCCATCATGACCTAGAGACACAGTGAGAGAATCTTGGGTCCTCTTTTGCTCTCTGTTGATTCCAGAGCCCTCTCTCATGGGGGAAATAAGCAGTTTCAGCTCTTGGTTATTCAGACTATGAAACAGACCATCCCCAAAACTTCCCCCCAGGGGCTTGTACCTGCCTAATTCTGCTGAGCCCCGGCAGTCTGAACAAGAATGTTCAGGAAACACTGATTAAAGGGGAGTGTTAAGAGGTAGAGATTCATGGGGACAATGGAGTCAGGAAAAGCCTGGAATTACACCTGGGTGGGGGTGGGGGTGTAGATACATTTAGTACGGTCAGTGGCAGTAGCCTGAGATGAAAAACATTAGCTGCTATTAGTCTTACTGTTAGAGCGATCAATGATTTATGGAAGACCAAAGGTATCCTGCCCGCATGACAAGGTAGCAGTGCCTAAGCAGGATGTCTGTGTCCCCCGCCCCTTCCCAGGCTACGCTACATGGTGAAGCAGTTGGAGAATGGGGAGGTCAACATTGAGGAGCTGAAGAAAAACCTGGAGTACACAGCGTCCCTGCTGGAGGCCGTCTACATAGACGAGACGCGGTGAGAGTGGTGACAGTGGAGATGCTGGGCAGGGAGAGACCTACCCACGGAGGAGGAAGATACCAGACAGACACAGTAGCCCAGACCCTGGGGGTCAGAGGAAGCTGGGGACAGAGACCTGTGCTGGGGTCAGAGTAGGAAGGAAGAGTGAGATGGGCAGAGAGGAAGAGCTATAGGTAGAAATACTGGCAGAGATAAAGAGGCAGAGAAACAGTCACAGAGTTGTAGAAACAGAGGCAAACAGGTGTCAAGAAGGAGAGAAGACTGTTGCCTTAAAGCTCATCTGGCCCCAGCCTCCCTCCCGGTGTGGAATCCCTCAGGCCCTGCACTGCCCAGTGTGGGAGCCACTGGCCTCATGTGGCCATTGAGACTTGAAATATGGCAACTGTGAACTGAGACGCGTATGTATTTGTAAAATACATGCTGGACTTCCAAGACTTAGAAAAGAGAATGTAAAATATCTCATCAGTATATGTTATATTGGTTCCACATTGAAATGACAATATTTTGGGCGTATTAGGTTAAAGAGTTTATCATTAAAATGAATTTCATGTTTTTTCTTTTTTTACATTTTAAATGTGGCGACTGGAAAACTTAAAGTTACAGTGGGGCCTTGACTTACGAGTTTAATTCATTTTGTGACGGAGCTCGTAACTCAAATTACTCGTATGTCAAATCATTAAATTGAACGAGTGAGACACATGATGCTGGGCTGATGTTGTGGCGTTCACTGTGACGTTCTCTGCGCCAACTAGCGGTGGGTTATCTGAAGCTGGCTCGTAACCCGAATTTTAGCTCGCAACTCAAAGCAAAAAATCGGCCGAGAGACCGCTCATATCTCGAAAAACTCGTTAGTCGGGACACTCGTAAGTGAAGGCCCCACTGTACTTCTGCGTGGCTTGCATCTTATTCCTGCTGGACAGTGCTTCTGGTCGCTAGCATCCCTGACGGGTGGTATTCCAGTGTCTGCTTGGACACTTCCAGAGCTGGGATGCTCATGACCTCACGCGGTGACCAGTTTTGACTGGGACATGAGATAGAGAAACAGAAAGAAAAGACACAGAGAGAAGAGCAGGAGAAGGGAGAGAGCTGGCCTGAGCGTTGCTGAGGGTGCGGTGTGGCCGGGCCCAGGGTCCCTGGGTTGCGGAAGCACTTCTTGTCTTTCCTCTTTGACGCCCTCTGGTGCCTCAGGCAAATCTTGGAACACGGAGGATGAGCTTCAGGAGCTGCGGTCAGACGCTGTGCCTTCCGAGGTGCGGGACTGGCTGGCCTCCACCTTCACCCAGCAGACCCGAGCCAAAGGCCGCCGAGCGGAGGAGAAGCCCAAGTTCCGCAGCATCGTGCACGCCGTGCAGGCTGGGATCTTCGTGGAGCGGTGAGGTTCGCCCGCGCTCGGCCTCCCTCTGCCTCTAGTCCTGTCCCTCGTCCCCGGCCACCCTGGTCCTCCAGGCCCCGCCAGTGGTATTGGCCCCACATGTCCAACTGATCAAACCCCACCCCACAGACCTTCACACCTGGGCCTCTTTCCACTGTTTCCCCCTAGGATGTTCCGGAGAACGTACACCTCCGTGGGCCCCTCCTATTCCACTGCGGTCCTCAACTGTCTCAAGGTGATCCTGGGCTCCCGCGAAAGAGGAGAAGGTCGGGGTGAGGAGGTGGAAATAGTCGTTGGGACTTCCAGACTCTGTTTAGGGGGTGATTTTTGCCTTCCCTTTTAAGTATTGTCCTCATGTTCCTCAAAACAACGTGTGCCCACTCCAGAGGCCTCTTTGTGTAACTGAGCGATGTCTGGGAAGGAAGGAAGAAGCCCACTTCACCACCTCCTTGTGTACTGCTTCCCAAGACTCTGTAACCATGGGCAAGTCCTCTCCGCTGCTGCCAGGCGCCCCCCTGGGCGCCTCCCTCCTAGTCTGTTGCTTCTCCACAGAACCTGGACCTCTGGTGCTTTGATGTCTTTTCCTTGAACCGGGCAGCCGATGACCACGCTCTGAGGACCATTGCATTTGAGTTGCTGACGCGGCATAACCTCATCAGCCGCTTTAAGGTTGGGTCATATTCTATTCCCGCCTTTGGGCATGATTCTCCACTCCCATTACTCCTGTTCTAGAAGATTCCCAACCAGTAGATTCCATAGGATCTCTCACTTAGTCCCACCATCAGGGGAGTCTCCTCCTGCCCACTCCAGTCCAGCCTTTCTTTCCCTTGCTGCAGTCCCAGCCTCTGACCTTATTTTGCGCCCTAGGCTAAGACTCTAGGTCTGTAACTGTCTAGCCCAGGATTCTGTTCTCTCCCCTTTGCTTTCTTTCCCTCTAACTTGACCTCTCCAGGCTGGTTCGCCGTTCACCTCCTCCTTTCAGCTGTCCTGCCTCCTGCCTGTGGACACCAGAGGCCTAAAGTCCAGATGCTGTCAGTCCTTGGGGACTAGAGTCTCTCCATGTGCTTGGGGGCAGGGGGAGGGGATAAAATTGGCCACAGCCACCCGGCTCTCCCACCTAGTGCTAGTCTCTGTCCAAGGAATTTTATGGAGAAGCTCAGCTCTTGGCAGTGCTGGGTAGGACTGTGTGAGGGGAGGGAGAGTGTGTGAACTCCATTTGCTCCTCAGCTTGGCCGGCCAAGAAGAATATAGGATTAAAGTCCTCTCCAGATCCTGTGCCAGGAGGGAATGTCTTTTGGGAATAGAGGCTGGAAAAAAACATTTCCACGTGGAAAACCACAGTTGGAAGTAGAGGGCGAGGGGTGTTGAAGAGTCGCAGTGGGGACTTAGGGGGGGTGGGCAATAGATGTTAGCGCAAAGGAAACCACGTGTTCTGAGGGCCCATGTCGGGGTGGGAGTGGGTGAAAGGAGTGTGGTTGAGGGGCCCCTCCAGAGGACTTTGAAAGGTCATCCTGCCATCCTGTGCCCCATTTCACCGTAAGGACCACCGGACCGCTGTGCATGTCTGCCTTCCTCCGCCCCACTCTGCCTTTTACAAGGGCTCCCAAAGGGCTTCCAGACCTTTCCCGAGGTGCTCAGGTGGGATTTTGTTCAGTGCCTTCCTGAGGCCTGTCCTTACTTTTATTTTCTTCCCTTTGATCCTGCCCGGAGAATAGCAGGGTCCTCTTTTTCTCCAGGCTTTTCCCAGCTCATGTTTCTCCAAACTGGTTCTCGGGCATATTCCAGGCACCAGCTTCTTTTAAACTCTGCTTCCTTACCTGGAAGGACTGGTTCTGGGGGGACCCTAAGAGTAATTGCATCAGGTTAGGATTGGCCCAACCCCAGTCCTAACCTGAGAGGGGAGTGCTTATTGCTTTAGTGTTCACTCATGGTAGAGCCCCCAGTTGGAGCTATCCTTCTCAAACTCCACATTCCCTTCCTGGACACCCAGCCCTCCTCTGCTCCTTCCCTTCCCTTCTCCCCTCCCCCTTCCCCTTTCTTTCCCCTCCCCCTTCCCCTCCCCCTTCCCCTTCCTCTTCCCTTCCCCTTCCCCTCCCTTCCCCATTCTCCTTCTCTTCTCTTCCCCTTCCCTTTCCCTCTCCCCCTCCCCCTTCCCTTCCCCTTCCTCCTCCCCCTCCCCCTTCTCTTCCCTTCCCTTCCTTCTTTCCCTTCCTGTCCCTTCCCTTCCCTCTTTCCCTTCCCTTTTCTCCAGGGACACCATGGCAATGAAACAGTAAGGGCAGTTGTCATGGAAACAGCCCTTTAAAATTCCCTAAATTTGGGACACAGCCCTCCAGGGGTGGGGGTGGGAGACATTAGGGTCTGATTGATGAGTGGCACATCCTCTGTGTCTGGTCACTTTCGCTCATCTCTACAGAAGCTTCCTCAGGTCCTGAACCTTGCTCTCCTCCTTGCCTCAGGCGATCCAGGGACCGGTGCAGACACCAGCCCTGCCCTCTAGGAGCCTTGAGCCTTTGAAGGAGGCAGGCATACCCCAAGGGCATATGCTGGACAGAGACGGAATTGATTAGCTTGTGTGTGTCTGGGTGGGGGGAGGCTTTCAGAGGAGGGGGTAATCTACATCTGGCTGGAAGGGTCCTCTCTACATCATCCTATCGTTTACCCTGCTTCTGAGCCCTTACCCATGGTGTTGGATTGGGTTGGGGTGGGTGGTTGAAAGGTAGGAGGGAAACTGTCTTTCCTTTTAAAAAAAATCTCCAGGGAAATAATAATAATTGTAGTTACTCTTTAGAGAGCACTTCCTAAGTGCCTTGTACTTATCTCATTAAATTCAAGGGGGGAGGTGGTATCTTCATTCCGCAATTAAGTCTCTGAGGCACAGAGAGGCATGTGACTTGCCCAAGGTCGCGTAGCCAGCAGGTGGTAGAGCCAGGATGTGAGCCTCGGTTCACCTGACTGCTGAGCCAGTGCTCTCCCTGTGCCACACTGCCTTCTACAGAAAAATGGCATTGCTGATCTCAGACCTGGGCCTCCTGCCATTCCTGCAGATCCTCCACGCAGCTCTATTTCCTCCCTCCTGCTGCAGATTCCCACTGTGTTTTTGATGACTTTCCTGGATGCTTTGGAGACAGGCTATGGGAAATACAAGAACCCTTACCACAACCAGATCCACGCAGCTGACGTTACTCAGACAGTCCACTGCTTCTTGCTCCGCACAGGGATGGTGGTAGGTGCCCTGGAGATCACTCTGCTGCGACTTAGGGCTTTATGACTGCATAACTGGGGTGTATACTCCCATTCCCCTCCTTCTCTCTTTGGTTCCTCCTTTGGCATCACAGTTTTCAGAGTCAAATCGGTCTTACTCTACAGAATTCCTGGGTGCACCATAATTTCACGGGATGTGTGCTGGGATGCAGTGGGAATGTTGCAGGTGGGAATGGAGGAGGGTCTTTGGTCATTCCGGGAGCTGAGAAACCTGGCTGCATTAGCCCACCAGCTGGCCTTGAAGAATGGAAGGGTGGTGTGAGCGGTCTAGCCTGTATGTGGAGATTTGGGGGCAGTGACTCAGAGAGGGTTGGCCCCCTCCCATCCTCTGTCTCTTTCTCCCAGCACTGCCTGTCAGAGATTGAAGTCTTGGCCATCATCTTTGCAGCAGCCATCCATGACTATGAGCACACAGGCACTACCAACAGCTTCCACATCCAGACTAAGTGAGGGGCGGGGTGTGGCAGGGTAGGAGGGGCCGAATGGAAGTGGGGAGGTTGCCAGAATTTCCATTTAACAGGGGGCTGACCATGATGACCTTTGGCTTTGCAGGTCAGAATGTGCCATCCTGTACAATGACCGCTCAGTGCTGGAGAATCACCACATCAGCTCTGTCTTCCGAATGATGCAGGACGACGAGATGAACATTTTCATCAACCTCACCAAGGATGAGTTTGTGTGAGCAGAAGCCAGGAGTGGGCATCCCTACAAGACCCCCTCACCCAACCCTCTCTCTCTACTACTTGGTCCTCCTGCCACCAGTGCTGTGGGGCTAATCGCTCTTCTGGTTCTATTCATTCAGGGAGCTGCGGGCCCTGGTCATCGAGATGGTCTTGGCCACAGACATGTCTTGCCATTTCCAGCAAGTGAAGTCCATGAAGACAGCCTTGCAGCAGCTGGAGAGGTGGCATCTGGTGGGGTGTGGCCGGGGCTAGGCCAGAGCAAGGGGTGTGTGAATCGGGGGGCATACACATGGGTGATTGGTGTGCCAAGTCTTTACCTGGATGTAGAAGCTCTCCTGGCTCCAGATAGCTGAGTGTATCTGTGTGTGTGTGTGTGTGTGTGTGTGTGTGTGTGTGTGTGTGTGACATGTGTGTGCACATGGCCCTGGGTTTAGGTACAGTCTAGGCACCTGGTATACTGGAGAGCACTTTGGGCTGGGAGTCTGAGATGGGCATTATCATCTCAGCTTCAGGACAGACTTACTCTGGAATGCTGGGAAAATCATTCAATCCTTCTGGACTCATTCCCTTATCTGTGAAATGTGAAAATGATATGCCTCCCTCCTCAACAGCTTGCCACCAGTTCCTACTATAAGCAGGCTACTGAGAGAGTCGTGTGAGGTAAAAGACAAAAACACAGAATAAAGGCCATAATTACATCCACTGTTGCTTAAAAGTGGGAGTATCTAAATGTGTGGGAGTTGCTAAATGTGTGTAAGAACGGACTATGTGTGTGTCCTGAAGGTGTGTGTTAGTGTGCCTACGTGTGGGAGAATGTGCTGTGTTAGAGCATATCATTGTTAGAAAATAATAATAATAATAATAACAATAATAATAATTATAGATAACATCTGCTGAGTACTTACTATGTGCCAGACACTTTTCTAAATACTTTTATATAGCATGCCATTTAATTCTCAGAACAATTCTATGTGGCAGATTCTGCTATTATTTCCGCTTAGGATTGAGGAAAATGAAATACAGCAAATTTAAGTAACTTGCTCTGTGTCACACAGCTAGCGTGTGATAGGCGTAGTGAGGATTGAACCCAGACCTCTGCTTCTAAGAGCCTGGGCTGCTTGCTCTGTGTGTGTGTGCGCGCTTGCGCTTGTGTTTGTGTGTATCCTTAGAGAGTGTTTGAAGTTACCTGAGAGGACCTGAGAGAGGGCATGTGATGGGGAGTTAGGAATGGTCCACATTTCCTTTTCCTAAAAGCCCAGTCTCCCTTCTCTCGCCATCTGCCTTGACCAGGATTGACAAGTCCAAGGCCCTGTCTCTACTGCTCCATGCTGCAGACATCAGCCATCCGACCAAGCAGTGGTCAGTTCACAGCCGCTGGACCAAGGCTCTCATGGAGGAATTCTTTCGCCAGGTACCATGGCATCCTTGCCCACCCCCTGCCCATGGGCCTTCTCTCGCTTGGTTTTCCATACTCCCACTCCAGACCTTCATTTAGCAACCTGCAGCTCCTGACCTGACCCCAAACCGGGGGGATAAACTGTCATCGTCCTAAGAGCTGAACGGTGGTTGATGAGAGGTGCATCCCGTTTGCCTATCACTCATTTCCAGGTCACAGGCACTCAGAGTGGAGGGGATGGAAGACCAGCAGGAGGCTCAGGGAGCCTCCTTCTTCTCCTCTTCCCTCTGCTAGGTACCTTCCAAGTCCACTCTGAGTGCCTGGGGGACATTCCTTTTCTACCACAACAACCTCCTACCACCCCAGCTTCACCCTGGGTCTGGTAGTCTGAGGTGTCCGCTCCAGCTTTCCCACCTGTCCTCTCCCCCAGGGTGACAAGGAGGCAGAGCTGGGTCTGCCCTTCTCTCCGCTGTGTGACCGCACTTCCACTCTCGTGGCACAGTCCCAGATTGGTGAGTATCCTTTCTCGCAGGGAGGAGAGGATTGCGAAGCGGAAAGAATGCTGCGTGGGGCCTGGGCCAGGACTTCCCCACGTCCCCAACCTCAAAGCCATTCTTCCCATAGAGGCAAGCCTGCTGTGCTAGGGCATGGGGTCCTGGGTGGAAGGCCAGGGGCGTGCAATGGTGGGGAGGAGTTCTCTGAGGTCACAAATGCATCATCCCAAAGGCTGCCTTCATTGGGAACTTTCAGCCGTAGGTTACT